GTCAAGAATAAACCTAATCTATTGATATTATAAAGAGCGTATTCGTTTGAAGTACTTGTTCCGCTTCTACAGCGCAGTTCGGTGAAATATGAATCTTTTCGTGAAAATTCGAAGTGTATAGACGCAAGTTGAAGTAGTCTATTGTTTAGAGCAACTTGTACAACAGAATGGAGGGAAACAATATTCGGATGAATCAAAAACACGATTCACATCTGCGAATATCCGAATACAGCGCCGCCCAAAATGGTACAACGAACAAAATGGAATCATAATAAATAATAATTCGTAAATAAACTTATATTCAGGCGTCTTCAGGAGCAAATAGGATTGTCAGATCCAAAAACACAAAAGCCGGACTCTGTGCTTCTGTGGCCGGACACTTTACCCTAAAAGCTGGACTGGTCACGGTTGGGCGCTTACTGGTCATAGCTTACGAGTGAGACTATCATCATCGGTTGCCCAACATCCTGATGCGTGCCCTTGATATTATTCTGTAGCTCGACTTTCGCCTGGCGCGGCAGCCACATGAAAAACCTAAAAAAATCTAGACAGGCCGGCCAAAACAATATTTGGCCGGACAAGACCGTAAAAAGCCAAACATGTCCGGCTTTAGCTGGCAACCCTTGGAGCAAAACATGTTCATATTCACTTGGATGCATCGATTGTGCGCATAAAATATACGAGATATTACGTAACACGCCGGTATCAAGTTATTGTAGGCTATTCGAGAAACTGACAATAAGTACAATAGCATACCTCTTTGAATATGTTATTCTCCTCGAAATAATACCAAAATGACTAGTTGAAATTTATATTTTATTATTACTGTAAACGTCTAAATACGCTGTTTGTTATTCGGTTAGTTTAACCCAACAAAGCCACAAACTACCAACTTTCACAAAGTGATACTGATCGCAAACCCATAATTTCTAATTTGATAATTTTCTGTAAGAGACGTATTTTTAAATCGCCAAAGTGCAAAGGATCTTGTTAGACATCGATTCAATTATTTGCGGCTATAAACCAATCAGTCTAGTTTGGTCGAGTTTTCAACAATTTTGTGTACATCCAGCGTCAAATAATTCGTGTCAACCAAAGTGGCCAAAAAGTTTACGATACAACAAAGACATGTTGCGAACTTTTTGACTGGTTTTGGATATCACGAACTTATTGACGCTCACTGTACAAGATATGAGAAACGTCACTTTATCGATTAGGTATCACTCTCCGAAATTCGTCTAAGCTACAGATTTATCAGTGGGAAAACAATGGCTGGAATTTTTAGTAACTGGTTTTGCCTGTCAAATTCGGGACTATTCCCACCTCTCGTCCCCACCACTGCAACGCCTGTGTAGCCAGGATCTACAGCTTGACCGCCATAAAAACCCAACCAATAAAGGCCAACTTTGTCCCGGCGGAAAGTTAAACTGTCATTGGACCCGCAACGAAATTAATCAGAAGAACATAGGCGAAGTTCGAAATTAAGGTTCGACTTCCCCCCATTGCAAAGCGGATGACAGGTGACAAACAAAGGTGGTTTTGCTTATCAGTGTAGTCTTTATATCTACACCCTGTATGTCTGGTCTAACTTCGCAACTGCGGTCGCAGTGTTTAAAGACGTTACATAACAGGTGGCCACCACCTGTTAGTGGCCACTAAGTCCCGGAGATAGGGGGTTTGCATTCAAAGTGACCTTCGAAGGGACATCGATATTATGCAATATGTTGTGTATAGATATGGCTATACAGGGTGGAAACGTTAAGTGATCTCACTCGATTATTTCTAAACTATATAAGATATCGAAAAACTGATTACTGATCCTGAAAGTGCTTCACGAGCTCTTTCAAATGATATCAGTAATAGATTACAGAATCAACTGGATCTATCCGAAAATTCAATGTTTTCAGCCTCCATACTAAATGTATGCACTATGCCAGCCACACAATATTAGAAGTGTTATTTTTTTTTATTTTAAATAATAAACACTTAAAATTAACTCGTAAATTTCATTCTAATTTAAAATTATTCATGGAAAACATTTATTTTAGGCTTTACTTGCTATAATATTATCAAGACATGAGTGTCATGACTGTGGCTGTACTAAATGTATGGAAGCTGAAAACATTGAATTTTCGGATAGATCCAGTTTATTTTATAACTTGTTATTGGTACCGTTGGATAGAGCTCGTGAAGCACTTTCAGTGTCAGTTACCAGTTTTTGGATATCTTGTATAGTTTTTAATATTATGTGGTTTTACTAAATGTATGGAGGCTGAAAACATTGAATTTTCAGATAGATCCAGTTTATCTTGTAACCTATTATTGGTACCGTTGGATAGAGCTCGTGAAGCACTTTTAGGATCAGTAATCAGTTTTTGGATATATTGTATAGTTTAGAAATAATCGAGTGAGATCACTTATCGTTTCCACCCTGTAGATATTCAATTCAATTTTAACAACTGACGTAGCACGTAGTTTGTTGTAGGCAAGGGAAAGACTAAGGCCCAGAACAGACGGTGAAACGCAACTGCAACGAAACTGCAACTTTCTGATGATTCTTATGAATGAAACTGAAAGTTTCAAACTGGTCGCGTCATGTGTGGTCTCTCAACGGACGCTATGGCAGAAACTTAGATGCAACTCAAAAGTAACTAGCAGTTGCAGTTTCGTTTCAGTTGCGTTACACCGTCTGTTCTGGGCCTAAGGTGTTTCGTTGCGATCTTATGTAACGCACAAACTTATTTTCAAATTCAGTCCCACCATAGTTGTCACCTTTTGAATTTCAACTTCAAAAATTAATAACGGAACCGAGTTTTGACGAAACTGACAAATATTAAACGCTTTGATAGAGCTGACAAAAAGCAATCAATGAACTCGTTACGGGCGTCGCAACTCGCAAATCGAAAACGCGACGCGCTATGAAATCCGCGGACGTTTCACCTGAATGACGGGTGGCAATTAAAAAGGGATTCCATACAAACAGTTTGAGAGACAAAGTGTTGGCACACGCCACGCAATTAGTGGCTGGCTAGTTTAGAGGGAGAAATGAGACACCTCAAATAGTAGATTGAAAAAATGGTTCATCTTTACATAATATACCTACTTTATTGTTTTAAATGCGTATTACAACGGCACGCGACAATTCAACTCAAATTTAATACTGTAATGATTCCACTATGAAAAAAATGAAAAAAATACGTGTTTAATTTTTTTATTATCTGTCTGAATGACTAAATAGAATTTCTACTTCATTACCCAGTCATCATCCCAATTCGTTTCGTTCGTTTCAGCCAAATGACGTCCACTGCTGGACAAAGGCCTCCCCCAAGGTTTTCCACAATGAACGATCCTGCGCTGCCCGCATCCAGGCTCTTCCCGCGACCTTTACCAGATCGTCGGTCCACCTAGTAGGAGGCCTGCCCACGCTACGTCATCCAGCCCGTGGTCGCCACTCGAAACCTATCCTGCACCAACGGACATCGTCTCTACGAGATATGTGACCCGCCCACTGACACTTGATCTTAGCAANTTACTTTGGTTCTCCTGCGGATCTCCTCATTTCTGATTCGATCACGCAGGGAAACTCCGAGCATAGCCCGCTCCATCGCCCTTTGGGTGACCTTGAGCCTTCTTATGAGGCCCATAGTGAGCGACCACGTCTCAGATCCGTATACCATCACTGGCAACACGCATTGGTCAAATACTTTCGACTTGAGACACTGCGGTATTTCGGACGTGAGTATATGGCGAAGCTTCCCGAACGCTGGCGAAGCATCCCAATTACATACAAGCAAAGATTGAAACTTTTGATTTGAATTTCAATATTTTAATACAGAGAAAACTTTACTTTAATTTTGTAACGAAGATTTCCTCTTCTAAATTACCCACGCGAGTCGTAATATATCTTTAAAATCTTAAGCCATTGCAAGGACGAAAACTGCAGTATTATTGGCAAGCGGAAAAAAGAGCTTGTAAGCAAACGGCGGTTAGCGCTGTCACTGCTAAAAATAAATGAAACAAGTCACTATTGAAGTTAGCAAACGTAGACAACTGTATAGTTGGTTCTCAGCGTTAGCAAGCGCTTCCAAACATTTTTTTCGCACAAAATATTTTTGATTTCAGGGTCGACTTTAATTAACCCAATATAGGTAGTTCCGCAATACTTATTTTTTAATACATTTTACAATATCAAAACTCACCTGTTGTATGTTTATGGAGTACCTACCACTCACTCTAGCATAATAGATAGTATTCAATAACAAAGAACAAAATCGGACAGAATGCGTCAAAACAAAACCAATTTAATAGAACGAAACACCAGAGATTGCAGCCACCGCTGCGGCGCCGGCGGGTATTTTGGAAAACTACACAATGGTATTAATAATACCCTCCTATTGGTTTTGTGGGCGACACAAACTATGCAAAGCGGCTGGACTAACACGTAACAATGCTAACGGAGGACACGCAAAATAAATAAATCGCTATCAAAAAATCACGGCTTTGTGCAGGGTTCCTGGATAAAAAATGACAGATCTCGATGCGCGGTGTAAATGTTTGGAAGTTGGAATGCAAAAAAGTTGAACGTTTATCTGTTCCAATTGTTTCAATTTGTTACAAATCAATATTACGTACTTCGAATTAGTGTTTTCGATTACAAAGTCCGTAATGGAGGCCGTAACTTTGATTATTTGATGAGGACGTAATGCTAGTAGTAGCTGTGGTAGTAGTAAAAAGTAGTAGTAACCGATAAAGATGGGCTACCGAGCACGGAGCTGTAACGGTCATTGCTCCGATTGAGGCATTTAAGTCGCCTGTGACTGCAGGACATTTAAAAGTAGCCTGTGACTTCAGGGAGAAAAAGAGAGCGAGAGGTAAAAGGGGGCAGTTGGGAGAGAGGAAGAAAACGCGAGAGGGTGGGAGATGAGAATAAGAGTTGATGATATCCACGCGGTAAGAGAGAAAAAGAAAGGCAAGAAGGGAAACAACGATTTTCTACTGACCTGGTAACAATGACACCCATGGCAGATCCATCAGCGGCAGATGTGTGCTCGATATGGGCCGGGCTGTCTTCAGCGGGGCGCGGAGGCGGGATCCAGTCGCGCGGGGGACGCGGCAGCTTCTCAGTGGAGACCCACTGCAGGGACGGCCATCCACGGAAGGAAACCACGTCTCCGGACGACGTCTTTGGCAGACCTGGGGCAGATGATTCTATTAGCAGGATTTCTCAAAGTGGGGTCATTCGACGGCAGGTTCGCAACAAGATTTACGCAGTGGTGGCAGAATTAAAATTGACCAAAATTACTCCTAAAAATCGACTCCATTTGCGACAAAAAACTAGGACACCATCAGCAACAGCATCAATATTAAAAGACATTTCTTTGGCCCTTTATTATTATTTTTATTTGATACCTTTTAGTTGGTCAGTTTTAGATTTTTTTTGGGGAGAGGGGGATTTTAATTAGCTAGTTAAAGGGTTCGCTGTCACCTGAAAATTCCAGTAGGGATTTGTGAAGCGGAAATTTTGAGAATCCCTTTGAATGAGAAGAGAAAAGAAGAAACAGTGAAAGAAGAAAGATAATAATTTGATACCCTTGTGAAAGAAGAAAGAGAATGATTGTAATTTTCTTTTGTTTTAAAGTGACTGTTTCTGATTGATTCATTTGTTTTATTTGAGTTATGTGAATGTTTATAGTTCTAGTGCTTAAGGTATATGGGGGCGCCACGGGTGGGTTTTATTTGTTACGTCAAATGTCAGCGAGACTTCTGATTTTTATGCTCTGTCACGTCATAATATGTCAAAATCGATCCGATCCCACACCTCAGGCACTGCCTGACTTAAACGCTAGAACTGTTGATTAGTGGAGTTCTAATATCACAGCTACTGGTTTTGGTCTACTGTGATCCCTGTCCCTGCTATGTGATCTGTATCTATTAGATAGTGTAGTGTATCTTTTGACGGAGACATTATGTTTCCGTTTGATAGTTTTAATAACCGTATTTGCGCGGCAATGAGGCGCGAGAGGTGCACTGTGAGATTAAACGTTAATGAGATTAAACGCGTCGCGTCATAATCACAACGGCAGTGTCGCTGCCCTTTAATGGTTAATAGTTTGTTCCTAACTTTCATACCAATATTGTGTTCATGTATTTTCTCGACATCTATTACGATAGGTACTGAAAATAGAGTCTTTACATACCATATCCTCAATGGAATCAACACGCAATCCTTAGTTGGTGTTGTAGTTCTTTATTTAATTACTATAACAATCGTTTATCTACAAAGTAATATTAATCACTGATGGATTTTAATAGCCGAATAAATATCGATGCATCGCGGACTCCTTATTAATATATCGAAGGGGTGGGTGGGGGAGGCCCTTGGTCACTTATGCCACTCATCCCTTATAAGCTATTGATTGTGCACGAGGTCAATTAATTATTTTTCGTTTCGAAAAACAAAATTATGTGTAGTTCTACAGGGTTGGAGAACAATAATTAGCTTTTATAATTTTGCGTGTTAGAATCCGTGTTCAGTGTATAGTTTTTTTAGGTACTTATGGCAAGCAGTAAAACAAAAATGTATGTTACACCAATAAAAATATGAGGATAAACGAGACGCCAAGATACCAACTTCTTTTACGAGTAAAGTCAATTTATTTATGGAAATATAAATTAAACACTTCTTTAATGCCGCGAGAGATTTGTGGAGCAAAAAATATGTTTTCAGTACAAATAACTGGAGCGGCATTTAAATTAAATGATAAACATTATTCAAGCTCTCATGGCTGTAAAGGAGTTTTTATATTAGCACTTAGTATTATGATCGGCGTTAATCGCGAAAGCCAGGAAAATATGAATGATTTATAATATTTCACCGTCTTAATCAGTTAATAGAATTATTCATGAGGAAAACATAATTATAGCCTGACCAGGAACATAAAAACCCTCGCCATGTTGCGGAAAATTAATGGTACTAATTTCTTTTAATGGCAACAGTAACTGAAAACTTCATTGATATGTCACCTTGCATGTCAGTCTATTGCTGTCAAAGTGTAAACAAACTTTATTTTAAATGTGTGCAATTGATTTTCTGAATTAAATTGCTAAAAACTTTTTATAGTCGTGAAAGAAAAGTGGTTCACAATGTGTTAAAGTATTTGTCGAAGAGAAATACTAAGGGTTCGGACAATATTTTCATTAAATAATGTTTCCGACAAAGCTTGTCAAATTGACTGACATGTTTATCGTATAGTACAGTCAACTATGAAAATTAGCTGTGGTTTGTTTCAACTACCTATTTTAAAGTTTTTTGTCACTTTCTTGTTGAATTTTATGAAATTGGGAAAGAAGTACCGACTTTGAAGCGTTCATGAGCAGACATTGTAGTTGAATATTCAAGTTCAGAATGTTATTATTGATGAATAATAATAATAAAATCCTACTTGCTCGATTGATGGTTTCATTTAATTTATTTAAACCAGTTTACGTATAATGTAATATTTTTTGTTAATTTATGAAAACATTAAATTAACTTATAATCCTGAATCCCGATACATAAAGTTAGCCTATTAATTTAATACAGGTACGACTGTACCCAGTGTTGCACTATCAAATGCAATTGACGCGCCTCTATGCCAGGGTTTTTATGTTCCTGGTCAGGCTATAAGTATGTTTATTATTATCTCACTAAGTTAATTCACAAGTGACGGAAAGTTAAATACAAATAAGGAATCCAATCACGGAAAGTAAGATGGAAATGTACCAGTAAGACCACAGTAAACCATTTTCCTAAGGATATGAAAGCGTCATTGAAATGCATATGAAACTAAATTGTCCCATCCGCCGATTTGTCAAACAAGCTGTAACTAAATAACAAATGACTAGTGAATTTCACTTTGGACTGACCTTTCAAGCAAGCGTCAGAGGTGAGAGCATACTGGATGCCGCAAGACCCCAGCAGGAAGCCAACTTGTTGGAGACCAGCGTCCCTTCTAGTCAATGGGACCTCTATGGGGACCGGGACGGCTCCCGCTTGGAGACAGCCATAGAACGCGCACATGAAGTTGATGGGGTCATTGTTGGGGTACACCAGGGCCACCCTGTCTCCCGGCTTGATGGAGTTGTCCCCAATCAGGGGGCCACCGCTGCTGCTCTTGGTTGTGAAGGTCCTGTTCAGGATGGCGTGTGCGATCTTCAGGGAGCGACTAAGGAGCTTGCCTGTGGAAAAGTAAAACTATTGATAACCTCGTTCGTTCGTTGGTTTCAGCCGAAAGACGTCCACTGCTGGACAAAGGCCTCCATCCTCCAGGATTTCCACAAAGTCAAACCTCACAACAGTAAAATTAACACGTATTCTGGCCGCATCGCATTTATTTTTGGGATAGAAGATGCTTTTGAATTTAATGTGCATTATTTATTTATAATACTAAGGCCCGATTCGACCAAACTTTTATAACTCTATAATATTCCGAGAATAACTCCTGGTATAACTGACACATTGACAGTTTCAGTATGGGAAATATGTCAAAACTGACGATTTATTCTGAGATTGATGTTTACTCTTGTTTGGTCGAATCCACCCTAAATAACGTCGTATTAAGGTTTGATTTAAATCTATCTGTTGCGAAATAATTTCGAGAACTGTAAACATTAATACGAGTAGCTAACGCAACTAGTTGGAACAGAGCAGGCCATTAATATCCTTGTCAAATGGACTCGTATACCGGCCTTTACGTCTTGACGCATTACCTAAAATCGCTGCTGAAATCTCAACTAATCTCAACTAATATTATAAATGCGAAAGTAACTCTGTCTGTCTGTCTGTCTGTCTGTTACGCTTTCCCGCTTAAACCTCGCAACCGATTTTGATGAAATTTGGCATAGAGATAGTTTGAGTCCCGGGAAAGAACATAGGATAGTTTTTATCCCGGTTTTTGAAACAGGGACGCGCGCGATAAAGTTTTTCTGTGACAGACAAAATTCCACGCGGGCGAAGCCGCGGGCGGAAAGCTATCTTACCATAAGTGAGCGAGCTGCTCAGTTTCCCATTTGGATCAAGCACCGTCGCAGCGTTGGCCTTGAACGACGCCGTGCCATATCTCTGCAGGGCCGCCTCCAGGTTCCTCGGCAGTCCGGCGGGGACCACCAGCTGTTCCCCCACCGCGGGGGTCATGGTGCCCCCCTCCGGCTTGGGGGCATTGGGGTCCTTGGGGTTCGCCGCGATCTCCAGCTCGATGTCGTCGTCTTCGTAGAACTCAGGTAATGGACGACGCTTAGGCCGCTTCAGCGTGTTCAGCAGTTGCTGGATTTTGGCAGACACCTAAAGCAATATTCAAACGTTAATATCAGGAAACGAGTATTAATCATTGTTTACGAATGCAGCTTTATTATTTATAATCTATCTCCAAGAATAGAGTCTAGACTGTGATGGTGATGACTAATATTTGAAATCAAATCAATCACAGACTTGAATTGAATGCTGAGCGTGTTTTCGTAATATGAATCATATTATAGTCTAAGATCCCGCTATACAACGACCTTCACCGAGATGCTTATTTGATGAAACATATTTTATATTCAATTTAACATGTCAATAATTATATTGCTTAAGGGTTGCCTAATAAATTTCAGTCCAGGATATGATTAATTAATCATTAAAAAAAGTTTTATTTTTAAATATTTCATCGGTTTGANAAATGTCCTCTTGTTATAATATTAAAGGTTAATTTCTGATTTATTTTTTGTTACACATAGCTCATAATGGCGGTAATTCTAATTTGTCTTAATGTAGCAAGAGTAAAGAAGATTTTGAATTTGTAAGTTTAGTTAAGAAAGAGTTGAGTCAAGTTATACCTTACATAGTATTAGCTTAGAAACATTAGATTTAACTTACACTTAAAATTCACTTGATGAAGTATTACTTAAGTGCATATGGTATCAAGTAGCTCTTTAGTTTTATTTAATTAAAACTAGATAGTTTTCATTCTGTCTTAGTCTTGCTAAATTATTGGTGCTGCTATACATTAAAGAACAATTCATTTACTAACTAATTTATTAATTACATGATTTCTCCCTCGGATTGTCCGTGTGGAAGTCGAAAATGGTTCTAATAGGATTTTAATTGGTTTTTACGTTTTTAGTTTTGTTATAACATGTAGGGCGGGTAAATTGCACCACCCGCATATTTCGTAAAGTAGGTATTCTTTGAACTCTGTAATTGCAACACTCAGCGATAAGCAATTAAATTTATTGAATATCGGATATTATGATTTTTGCCGTATTTATTGTGAAAAGTTTTTATTTAATTGTTTTTATGGAACTTTTAACAATTTGTGATTTTGTTAAATTTAATCACACAGTGTTTCTAATTTATTAAATGAGAAGATTGAGCAGCGTAAATAAGTGTGGATTACAATTATTAGAAACATTTTTCGGTAGTTATTATGTTAAGATTTTTTAAAGGTAGGCCTACCGTCACCTAGTTAGTTAAATTGTATAATAATCATGTTGTACCCAACTTTACCATACAATTTCGAAAATATTTTAGACAATACCTATTTTAGTAAATCATATTTTGAGTTTACTTATAATATAGTTTGCGGGCGACCGCACGCATTTTGAATCAAAAATTAATACAATAAGCTGCGCACGCAGGTGCTCGTGCATTACCTTGAATTAATAGGCGTGATCCTGTTTTATCGAAATCGTCCCGTTAAGTGTATTTTTTCTCAAAATGTACTAATTCTAGTAAAAAAGTAATTAACTTAATCTTCAGAAAACTATTTCTAAGACAATGGTCTTTAAAAAGTCCTAAGTAAATCTACGAATACTTTTTTTACTTTGCAACACTTAAATAATACTTCATCTATACTATTTAGTATTAAGTGAGCATACAAAAAATCTTAATTTAGTAAAATAAGATTTTTTTTACTTAAGCTTAGAATAACTTAAGACCAAATTATCTAAAGAATACTTAACTTGGTTTTGGGTATTCTTAATTTGCTTAAGTAGCGCTCGATGAAGAATATAAAGTCTTAAAGAAAAAAATCTCTATTCTAAGTTAAATTGGTTTTAGCTCAAGTGTAAATTTAGATAGAGTTAAGACAAGTAAGATTTTGCCATTAATACCAATTGCTACTTGGGAACTTACGTCCAACTCTGTATCGCCAGAACTTTCCTGCAGTGACGTCTAAACAACGAAAATCAACAGTGGTTATCCTTATAGGTATTGTTCCCGTCACAACACTCCACCACCTACACAACTTTAATCGCCGGCATTAAATTAAGCCACAATTTGGTCGATTACCGAACAATATTAAACGAGCGAGTTCGACACTTTCAATTAAGATCACCGAGTTCGATTGAATATTCGCAAGTTAAATACAAACTCGTTCGGTGTATTCGGTTGCACTGATTCAACTCTTTCAGATAGTAGCCACACAAACAACTGGTACTGTACTGACGATGATTCACGAACATGTTCCTGTTAAACCGTGACCCGTTATTAAGGCGTACGTCATGCACAATTATGTTGCACAGGAAAGTGTTTAAGTCGGATAAACGATCAATTTTAGAAATAAAAACGTTCAAATCAGTGACACGTGAGAACGACACAGCTGAATTTATTATAATTGGATAAGATTGGACTGAGTCTGGATGGTAAAACATTCTGTTCCTATTTTAATACTTAAATTTTAAAGAGACAAATATGTTATGAAGCAAGTAAACTTCCGAAAAAGGAATTGCAGTCTATTCGCCGAATAAGAAGACGAATAAAGGCGCGCGCGCACCGGTGCCTTTTATCACCGTGACAATATTATGTCATAGATAAGATTGCCTACTACATTGTCGTTTTTTTTCTCTTTGTAAAAGTGCAAAAGATAAAGATCTATGATGTGTATGAAGCCTAAATATTTAATTTTCACCTTTTTCGTGTAGCATTGGTTTTTAATCAGTGCCAGACTTCTACAAAGTTATTTCTCATGTTTTAAATCAGTTTCATGATATGAAAAATTTCATAAACCAGTCTGTAATAATTCTAATTAGGTTTTTTCTGCGTATCATTAACTTGTTAACATGCCATTAAACCGTTTATGCAGTAAGTGATAATGTTTTGACGCGTTTTTCTTCGAACTATTAGCTCTATGTGATGGGCGGAATTGAGCCAATTAGCCGGTGTATTGTTATTAGTTTGCTCTATTAGTGTCGTGAGTGAAGTGAAATGATAGGGGTTCTTCGGTTACGGACGCTTACGCGTATACCGAGGGCGTAACCACTGACGTCACGGGGTAGTCCAATAAAAGCTACCTACAAACAACACACTTTTTTAAACTTTCTCGCGCGCTTATTTCTTTGTTGCTCTTTTCCGCTAGGTATATTAACTTTATGGGTTCAGACTAATTGTCGGCCGTTTGGTGGAGTGGTTCCGAACTATGCCGAGAGGTCACGGGTTCGATCGATTCCCGGCCGGGCAGAAATTGAAATGATGAATTTTAATTTCTGTGACGGGTCTGGGTGTTACTATGTATAATATGTATGTATTTAAAAAGTATATAAGCAGTATATCCGTTAAGCTAGCACCCATAACACGAGCATATAGGTTGCTTACTTTGGGGCTAGCTAGCCCTGTGTCCAAAGATTTATTATTCGTTCGTTCGTTACAGCCGAAAGACGTCCACTCCTGGACAAAGGCCTCCCCCAAGGATTTCCACAAAAGCTGGTCCTGCGCCGCTCGCATCCAGGCACCTCCCGCGACCTTCACCAGATCGTCGGTCCACCTAGAGTTACTATTATTATTCTCACCTTCCACCTCCCGGTGCCGGTACCGGAGTCCTCGGGCTGCGCGTAGCACTGCACTCGGTCCGCGACCAGTGCGCCGCCCCGCCGTGCGCCTGACGAGGTGTGAGTCACATCAGGCTGGACGTCTACAATGTTACGCTCAATGAGTACAGAGCCTGTGCACACGACATCAGCAGACAACGCGCTTTTATCCCAATAGACATGTTGACACCACCAATCAATTGACGTACTTTTTAAAACTGTCAAAACGAAACTCACCCATAGATTTTGTATGACACTACAAGCGATTGACGTCACTATTTTGTCAACTCAATTTAACTACTTTTTTCAATTACAATGCGACCAAAAATCGTAATTTACAGGTTCAATTTAAAATCAATTAAGTTTTTAAGACCAGAATGAAGGGTCTTTTAAAAAAAGTTGTGGTTTAGAATTATTGGGGTATGGTGTCAAACTGTCTATTGGATCACATTTCAACTCAATATATTGTTATGATTCGATTATGAAAAATAAAAATAAAAATACGTGTCCAATATTTTTTATTATCTGTCTGATGGACTAAATAGAATTTCGATTTCATTACCCAGTCATCATTCCAATTAAAAAACACTCGCAAAAGCTCATGAGTCACGCGCTTCTATCAACAAGTAGTAAACGCGCTTTAATAAAAGACTTGTCTGAAACATGCCATAGCTGGATTCTGTAGCAGTGTGGCGTCAGTCCACTCTGAGTCCAGAGCGACTCTTTACACTCATATGTTTAACAAGCCAGATGTATGCAATATTTCAGCTTAAATAAACTTACAGGAAGTCAAATTGACCAACAAGACAATCGTAAGACTTGATAATCTGGAGTCTGGAGCAGAGATACTAGGGTAAAGGAAGCTAAATTAAAGTTAGTAGTACAAATATAAGTACTACTATTTGTATCGAAGCGTACAAATGTTACAAAGTTACAATGTTTTTCAGCGAACATCTGTTGAGATTGGTACGCGCGACACCTGCTCTCGTGAAACGCGCGGTGTCTGCTCATTGCAGTGTCGTGTGCAAAGGCCTTTAGTTTCATTTTCGTTTTCGTTTTCGAAGTGCACAATGATTAGTTTTTGTTAGTGATTTTATAGCCAATTGGTTAGCTCTCATAAGCGTTTCAAGCTTGAGTCAAGCTTGACAACATTAAGGCCCAGTTTTTTTATTCATAGTTAAAATAACAAATTGTTAAATTTTGCTACTAATGGTTAAATGTTAACAAAATGTTAACTAATAGTTAAAAAATGTACTAAAAGTCAAGCTAACCATTGTTCGAAAAACATTTTTTTCTGATATTTAACCCCTTGTCATTTAACATCTGTCAAATTTGACCATTGGTTATTTTAACTACGAATCAAAAAACCGGGCCTAAGCATGTCAGTTTCAAAAGAAAGAGAGAAGAGAAAATAAAATTATACTACACTTGCGAGCAAAAGTATGGAATCACTTACATGAAGTTGTTTCCACGCGATCTTGTGTACAAACCAATTTGTTAATAACAAAAAAAGTAGCACCATTTTAAAGGTAAAACTTTTAACTTTATACTGATACCAAATTCATTTAAATCACACCAGTATTTAAAAAGATATCCCGGCTGATGTAAAGAAGTAAGGAAAAAGACATGTATCAACTGTTTGATACGTCGCGAGTTGCGGCCTATTTACCCCCCATAAAAGCAAGTGTTTTCGGATTTTTGCTTTCACACGTTGATCCATACACATCTCCGCTTCTTTTGACACTTTACCTGGGATTCTACACCTTCAGAAGCAGCACAAATCGTTGCACTATTGCAAGAAGGGCTCAGCCAGAGGGCTGTCGCACGTCAGCTCCACATAAGCCAGTCATGGGTTTCGAAAGTTTTAAGACGCTTTCGGGAGACTGGTGGCTTTATCCCGAGACCAAGTTCTGAACATTGCCGGTGCACATCGCAGAGGGAAAACCGTTTTTTCATGTCAACTTCTCTACGAAATCGTCATTTGACTGGTATCGACGTCCAGCAAGAGCTCAGAAATGTTCGTAGGATAGCTGTTAGCAAGTGGACAGTTCGTCTAAGATATAAACAATAGAATTTGACTCCAAAAAGGCCTGCCACAGGCTTGAAACTGACGGCAGATCACCGATAAGCACGCTTTCAATTTGCTCCTACACATCTCGATGGGAAGTCGAGCAAGCCACCCCCATAAGCCAATGTTTTAGCGAACCAGGACTGCACAAATCGCTCCCCAGGCCGTCTATAGACCCGACCTCTTCGACTGCTGCACTGCAAAAACAGTCTGCATTCATCGGAGAACAAAACTCGCCTCCATTACTCGCCTTCCGAGTGCGAGCTAATTGAAAGCGTGCTTGTCGGCGACCTGCCGTCAGTTTCCAGCCTGTGGCAGGCCTTTTTGGAGTCAAATTTTATTGCTCATATCTTAGACGAACTGTCCACTCGCTAACAGCTATTCTACGAACATTTCTGAGCTCTTGCTGGACGTCGATACCAGTCAAATGACGATTTCGTAGAGAAGTTGACATGAAAAAACGGTTTTCCCTCTGCGATGTGCACCGGCAATGTTCAGAACTTGGTCTCGGGATAAAGCCACCAGTCTCCCGAAAGCGTCTTAAAACTTTTGAAACCCAGGACTGGCTTATGTGGAGCTGACGTGCGACAGCCCGCTGGCTTAGCCCTTCTTGCAATAGTGCAACGATTTGTGCTGCTTCTGAAGGTGTAGAATCCCAGGTAAAGTGTCAAAAGAAGCCGAGATGTGTATGGATCAACGTGTGAACGCAAAAATCCGAAAACACGTCCTTTTATAGGGGGTAAATAGGCCGCAACTCGCGATGTATCAAACAGTTGGTACATGTCTTTTTTCTTACTTCTTCACATCAGCCGGGATATCTTTTTAAATACCGGTGTGATTTCAATGAATTTGGTATCAATTTAAAGTTAAAAGTTTAATCTTTAAAATGATTTTACTTTTTTAGTTACTAAAAAATTCGTTACTACACAAGATCGCGTGGAAACAACTTCATGTAAGTGATTCCATACTTTTGCTCGCGAGTGTATTTTACACTTAAAAGGCAAAACTCAAAAGAGTTAATTACTTAGTAAGTTATGCAAACCAGTGCACTTCTCAAACTTTCTCTTCGCCCCTTCAGATTTACTCTAGAACTTTAAGCTTATAACGAAAATTTCTAATTAGGAAATACATCCCACATCAAAAGGTAAATAGTGCACAGGGTTTCACTTCAAAGAACGATGTTTAAATACTTGACTGGTGTCTGAAAGTTAAAGCTAAAAACGTAGTTCTAACGTTAGCGTTTGAGTTATAATTATTTTGTAAATAACCTTCCATTTACATTTTATTATGCACCAGAGCACCAGACTTGAATAAATAGAACTTGTCCAGTCAAAGGCAGCTACGAATAGGGGTATATTTACTTAAGCCACTTGTCCTGTCGCCGACGGTAGAGCGACTAACTTTCGACTATTTTCTCGAACAAGAACCGTATTTACATATACATGTATATACCATGTTGATCAAAGATATATTATATAAATATTACTAGCG